GAAAAAATTAATCATTACTTGAAAAATGTAATTGAATGCAAGGATATAATAGGCAATGGATGCTTGAGCAGGTGTAAGGGATTCAGGAATAATTACTACTGTGAGAAATGAAATGCCAACATACATAAGAAAATAAATGTCAGAAGTAATTCTTGTATGTGGAAAGGGAATAGTTTAATCACCTTTATAAAAAAAATTCAGTCAATAAAACCAGGTAGAAACTCTGAACAGAAAAGAACAAGATCTGCAATGGGAGCTAGTGAGGGAAGTCAAGCTGAGGTATGCTTCTTATCATAACCCAAATACACTACTGCATCACTCATAGCAGATTCTCACTTAATTGTGGTTATTCCTTTAGCTTTGATATTCACAATTAAAACAATATTGATATGTGCATCACACTCAAAGGTCTTGAAAGCTTTGCCATTATTATAACTTAGGAACAAAACTATAGTGAGAAAGACAATTTCAAGTGGCCAGCTCTTTATGGCATTGTGATTAGTTCAGAATAAAAAGAAATAATCTGATTACCATTAATTCTCTGCAAAACTGAATGGACAATTTGAAAATTTTCATTGTGAAAATGGAAGATGGCTAGCAGGCAAAACATTGATTCAGTTGCAGGATCTTCACATTAAAAGGACTATTTTATGCGGGTTTAGACTCATAAACATAAGATATCAAAGTATAATAACAGGTCCAGTCATGCAATAGAGAAGAAATAACTAAAGACATGAAACATGGGACAAGCCTTTTCACAAACTGGCTTTTCTGTGATAGACCAACATCAAAACAAGATGTAGCAAAATGAGGTGTAACTGCAATTCTAGCTTGTGTTGTACCGCAGGAAACAGTTTTTTTGGAGGGCAGGTGTTTTATCATTAATATTATAATAATTAATAATTATAACTTTTAAATATCCTTCCTTGGCTTACAATCTGCAAAACTTAGTTTTGTTTGATTCATAATACTACAGCACTACATAAATCTCAGTATATGCTCATATTTTACAATTTCCTCTTTCCCATATCCAAATAATTGTAGTTAAAAATAAGCATTTGTAACCTAGGAGAGAAAATAAACCCTCTTCCTTGTTCAGATTACTTAAATGGTCTTATTTGGAGTACCAATTAAATCATTAACTGATTTTTCCACTACACACTAAAATGACACTTCTCAGAGGTGTTCTATTGAGTCAGATTGTCTGCAGATTCAGGGAGTGCTGTATCTTTTGATGTGGGGCATAATTCAGAGACTTTCCTTGTAACTGTAAGGAATAGAAACTATTGCTGAAAGGCAAAATATCAGCATACAAGGTAAGAAACAGGGCAATAGTGATGGGCTGTCTACTGTGCTGGCTGCTCTGGGAATGCAAGACAAACATAATTTTTCTTGTTCTCCCTTAATGTAAGGAAAAATTATCTGCAGAACTAATAAAAATCCTAGCACCCCAAAAAGTAAGGTTGTCCTACATGCTGGTAATGCTGAAAAAGTTACACTCGTTTATGCTGCACTTTTACATGTAATGTCCCATGTAATGTAAATTGCCCTTGGAGTTCAATGGATCTGCTGACAAAAGGGAAGTTACTACTCCTTCTAGATGGATATGGGCTATGGAGTTTAGACAGCCTATTCTGCTTTTCTGGCTGACTAACCAAGTAGGCTATGGGAGTATGCCACTGTACTTAGAATTCAGTTAATAAAGAAAGTGATGACAGGCAAGAAAGTTTGACATTTATGAAATGGTTAAGTTACAGACAAAAGTATGTGCTAGTAAGAAGTTGGAGGACAATCTTGACATCCAAAAGTAGCTTTAAAAGGAATGAGGCCAGGATTTCACCCAAGGATTGGAACATCAACAGACCAGGCAGGCAAAGCTTAACGATGTGACTTCACAGCTATGCTAAGCCCTTCCCTCACCTCTGGATACTCATTCCCATTCCTTCCATTTGGCTAGCACTTGCTTTCTGTTTCAGCTCAACTGGTCAAATTCAGCAGCTAATACAGCCATTAATAAGTAAATAAATAAATAAGTCAGCATTTAGCATCACTAATAGTGTTTCAACATTTTATACTGTTATATCTACTAAAGTAGGAAAGTTCCTCACTTTCCCTCTTGAGCCAACAGTTTGGCTCAAGAGACATTAGCTATTCTGCTCTAGTTACTTTAAAAAGTGATCCAAGCAACAGCTTTTAGTGATTCACAAATTATAACACAAATATAATTGCCATTAAACTGTGGCTTAGACCCATAGCTTATGCAGAACATTTCTCTAACACATGGTTCATTAATATCAGGTGGAATCCTGGGTTTTGCCTTGTTTCTTCCTTTAAGGATCCTGAACGACACCATCTCACAGTCAGTGTACCCAAGGTTTGGACATTCCCAACCAGTCAACCCTTGTTTGTAAGTATGAGCTGTAGCACTACGCTACCCCTTCTTGACTCCTTCATCAGCTGTGCCATGAAGTTGTCATCAATGCACTTCAGAAGCCTCCTATATTTGCCTGGGGTTTTCCACAATATTTTGTTGGGTTTTTTTAACACTGTCTCAGTCTGAGGTGTGAGGGTATTCCCACCATTGGTAAATGGCAAGGTTATCAGTTGAATCTAGTTTTTGATGTTACCAGTACCACTTGATCACTGGCTCATTACTATTATTGGACACTTGTTCTAGCGTATTAATGCTGTCAGAATTCTTTTTTTTAAAAATATAAACACTGACCACTGTACACAGCCTACAGTAAAAACAGTTGAACTCAACCTATGAGACAACATGAAGCATGTTTTGACTCTAAACTCCCATCACTCTCATTTCTGCAAACACTAACCTGTTTAGTGTCAGGTGGCTGTGATAAAAAGGGGTGACAGAAAGGGGTTTTGGAAGAAAATATGTTTCATCAGAAAGGTTTATGTCAAAAAGCCAAGCCACAGCTCGAGAGCATTTTCACTGCCAGTTCTGACTTGGGGGGAAGGGAGAGGAGTGCAACAATTATATATGTTGCTCTGCACAAAACAGTAATCTTCACAAACCTTTGTCACATTCTTTGCATTTGCCACTCATGTCCAACATTAGCAAAAAATGCTGCTAGTATTTGGAAAGTTGAAGAGACATTGAATTCCTTCCTCTTTAATAATTTATACCAGGGTCTCAAAAGATCTGCAAAGAACTTGAAAGCAGAGTTGCTTTTCAATATTTAAAATGTTATGAATATTTATTTTTCACTTGTACTGTGACTCCTATCCACCACAAATGCAAAGGACAACTGTTCAAAATATTTTCCACGCTGGATCTAGTTAAATGTTTCTCTTCTCCCATATGATTTGTCGACTCTGCAAATATTGCTCAGGCCCCCTGGTTCCTTCATATCTGCACATAAAGCATAGTTTTAAAAATAAATCCTTATTCATCACAGACTGATTTTTTTATTTAAACTTTCCTTAAAATTATATATATGTTATAGACTATTTTCTGCATTGCTCCTAATCCCTCAGCATTCCATAAATTGCCATGGGCAGGGACACTTTCCACTAGACCCGGTTATTCAAAGCCCCATCCAACCTGGCCTTGAATACTTCTAGGACTGGAACATCCACAACTTCTCTGGGCAACTTGTGCCAGTTCCTAACCACTCTCAGAGAAAAGAATTTCTTCCTAACACCTAATTTAAATCTCTTGTCTTTCAGTTTAAAACTTATGCCCTTGGTCCTATCACTACCCACCCATGTAAAAAGTAACTCTCCCTCTTTTAATAATCCCCCTTTAAGTACTGTAAGGCTGCAATGACGTCTCCCTGAAACCTTCTCTTCTCCAGGCTGAACAACCCAGTTCTCACAGCTTGTCTTTGTAGGAGAGGTGATCCAGCCCTGTGATCATCTTTGGGGCCCTCCTCTGGATCCACTCCAGCTGCTCCATCTCTTTCTTATGCTGAGGACCACAAACCTAGATGCAGTTTCATGAAGGCAAAGCTTCTCCCAGTCTGGATTCGTGTCTGGCATTGCCCCAATTCAGGTGCAGCACCTTGCACTTGGATTTGATCAACCTCATGAGGTTCCCATGGTCCCACTGCTAAAGTTTGTCCAGGTTCCCCTGGATGGCATCCCTTCCTTCTGTTGTGTCACTTGCAATGTTCAGTTTCATGTCACCTGCAAACTTGCTGAAGGTGCACCGGGTCTCACTGTCTGTGTCATTGATAAAGACATTGAAGAGCACCAATCCCAAGACAGAGCCCTGAGGGACACACTTGTCACTGGCCTCCACCTGGAGATTGAGCCACTGACCACAACTCTCTGTCTGTGTCCATCCAGCCAATTCCTTACCCACCATATATAGTCCACACCTTCAAATTCATGTCTCTCAATTTGGAGATAAGGATGCAATGTTCTTCATCTTCCATGAAGAACATTTATGTACTTCTCATGAGAAGATGCAATTTTCCAGGAAAAGAAAGGGCCATCCCTGAAATATTTATAGCTTTTGCACTGAAAGACTTGGAACTCAGAACACTTATTTAAAAAAAAAAAAAAAAAAAGAAAAAAACCAAACCCACACCCTACTAACAGTATAGTCATTTGGTTGTTTCCAAGTAAGTTTGTTACTCCATCTAGTCCCACTGATAAATCAAGGTGTCCAGTAGGAGGTTTCTTGTGTTTCACATCAACTGGTGGTTAGTGTATACCCAGCAGCAATAATATGCTTTATAGCCTTCTGAAAACACGAAACATTGGCATGTGAATATGAATACGTGAGGGCAATCTCATCATATAAATAGGAAACCTCTTAAACTCTCGCCAAGATAAGGAATATTTTTTTCCAATTTATTGTTAGCTTCCTTTGGGAAATTCTGTCTTTAATAAAAAAGCACCTTCATAGAGGCTGTAATGGGTTGCTTAAAAGCAAGCAAATGAAAAACCCACACACAAGTCCTAAGAGAAAAGCCATGGAGGGAATTAAATATTTTTTGCTGTCAAAGCATTAAAAACAAAAATACAAAATGTGCTATATTTAAATTAACTTTAATAAGAAGTACAAAAAGATAATGTTAAGCAATATTTTGCATGTGGTTAATAAATATTCCTCAACAGCAAGCAGTGACACATTCAAACATAAATCCAGTTATTTCTTTTACATTTTAGAAAAGTAACAATTTTCCCAGTTAAAACAAGGTCACAAATTACAGAATATTATCATCCTCTTTAATTATTTATGACTATGAAACCTACTAAATAAGTGAACTGTCACCCAGAAGATTTTGTATGATGTTGATGTTCAAAGTTAAGTATACTTACATTTATCATGCAGTTTCTTACTGTGCATATTTGATTGGTGTTTAATTTTCTTTAATATTATTGGTTCATTCTTCCTGTTTCCTTATTCCTCATTAGTATACTGGAAGCATTTATTTTCCAAGTGCTATACATTTTCATGCCTAAGTGACTCACTAAAGTAGATTTGTCATACAATGCATAAATGCTTTCTGACTCCAGCCCAGCTGAGAAGTTGCTAACCACGTCTGAATCAGACTCCACTTTATTTTTACAATTTTTTTAAATAAAGTATAAAAAGATTTAATCTAATAATGTCCATTAAAATTAAAGTGCCTTCAAATGTTTCCTAATAAAGTGACTATTTGGAGGGGAGAGGGTGAAGGGGTGCTGTTTAGGAACTGATTCTTTAACAGTTTATAGATACGGTGCATATGTATTCTAATAGATGTAAAGTACTACATTGCATTCCGTGCTAATGCTAAGCTACAGTAGCCTATAAACTGATAAATTCAGCCAAAATGAACATCTAATAAAGAATATCAAAATCAGTTGATCAAAGTAATATCTTGTTTCATTCTCTATTTCCATTCATCCTCAACAGCATAGTTAGATGGATTAAGTACTGGAAAACAAATATAACTCTTCAACCTGTTGAAGCTTGAGTTTGCCTCTTTTAATGTCAGATGAGTGAAAGCATTCACTAAAAACCTTGAATGCATAAAGACATGTTCCAGAACCCCTGATTGAGTGAAGTATTCACAACGTTATGATAAGAATTAAAATTTAAAAGCAAAATAGAACTTTTAATAAACTTTTAATAAAAATATAATCATATGTATTTATGTAGACTTCAACACTAAAGGAAGAGTATCTTGCATATTTTAAAACATCCTCCAAATTCCTTTTTGTTAGTGTTATCACCTAATTCTCACAGCTCTTTGTAAACATTCTTAAAGGGCATTAATATATACCAAAAATAGAAAAGACATCAAGTCCTGTATTTCAGTATGGTTGACTCTTCTTTTAAGGGTTTATTTTCATGGATTAAAGAACTGCCAACCTCTATCCAAAGGAGAGTCCAGATGTACTGTTAAATGTACTCCTCCTCTGTAAAAATTCAGTTTTACTTTAAATTCAGTGCTAATTTTGCCCTGATCTCTATCAGAGATGACAAGCCCTCAGAGTTTAGCCTCTTCCAATAAGATGTAAACACAGATTCCAAAACGCAAGCTAAACAATTCACATACAGATGTGAATCTCAAAAAGTAGGTGGCTTAAAGTAGAGGAAAACAAGTATTTTATGTGATGAAGATCTGCCATTCATTGAAAGTAAGTTTTGATCCTTTAACTTCTACTACTAAAGGCATGAAGTGATGAAGTCCCTCACGGATTCTCAGATGGCTCTAATTAACAATTAGATTCAGAATATAATTAAAAGTTCTGGTTGTTAGGGAGTTTGGGTTATCTGCAGAAATGAGGCAGAGAAGGTCTTCTTGACTAAAAAGAAAAAAATAGCAAGACATTAAAGGGATATAACAAAGTTCTATAGCACACTGAGAGCATTTTAGAAGAAGGTACACTGTTACGTGGAGAAGGTGGAAGGAATCCTAACACTCCTTTATAAAGAGCCATTATCTACACGAGGCTGAAGCATGAGCTGAATTTCATATAAATTCACATAATTACTTTAGTGTTTCAGTGTATGGAAGACAAAAACTTTTTATGTGACATCAAATTATACCACAGAGATTATATTTCAATGTGTTTGGACATTTGTACATTTATCTTATGTGTTTTTAAAATAAAGATATTTAACTTCCTGGGTTTGTTTTGAAATGTTTTCTTCCTCTACTTTAGAACTCATTGCATCGCTTTATAAATTTTAGCATTCTGTGTCTACACATAACTGGGCAGAGACTGATGATAGCTTCATATCCATGCCAAGATAATCTTCTGTGCAGACTTGTTAGGAATAGAAATGCTCAGCAGCACAGACCATCTATTTTGTGAAAGGCCAAGGCAAAACTTGTGCACCACTAAACTTTCAGAATAGGATTGAGAGGTATGGAGGATGGATGCTGACTGTCTGAGCTTAAGTGAAAGTCACACCTTTTAGGAAAAAAAAAATGTAGAATTAACAAAGTGTTACTTAATTTCTGAAGTGTATTTTCTCCCTCTACCCCATATGTCCCAAATGGCAGGATACACACAACACTTCATGGACATTTTTCACAAAGCAGTCAGTAGAAACCTTGCACTTTCAAAGGCACAACCCATGTCCCTCAAGTTCAGCAGAACTGTACAAGAAGTATTTCAATTTCATATGCTCTAAGAGTTACTTTCCCACAACTCACATGTGGCAGTGAAGGCTCAGAACTGAAGCTGAAACAGAAATACACATTAATTCCTCGATGGCTTCTTCCTCGGTTACCTCACAATCCACTGACATGGTAACAAAGCTTTTTCTCCTCCTTCTTTTCCTCCCTCATACATCCTTACCTTCTCCCAGCTGCTTCTGATTGATTTCATACAGACAGTTTATGGTCACCCCACTTTTGAAAAGTCTCACCACCTATAACAACTGGCAAGGGAAGGTGATTCAGTAAGGCTCCCGTTTGGTGTCTAAATGCTCTCTCCTGTGACTATACGGGCAAATACTATGCTCTCTCCTTAATTTAGAATAATGTTCACTGGTATGAGTAGTCTCTCAAACTAAAGCTTGTATCTCAGAACACCTACCATAAAATTTTTTTTAAAGATGCTCAACAATGCAGCAGTTAAGTTGAATTAACCCAGATATGGAAGGTGAAGGTAATTTCACTGGCTACAGTATAACTAAGAAGTTTGGAAGCCACTCTTTTAAAAGCAATCTGTCATGAAGTGTCCAGCAGACAACTCTGGCTGATAAACCCTGCTGATCTCCATAGTTTTCATGCTGATTTGTAAATTACTGTTAAATTAACTGACCACATGCATCCAGAAGTCTGTACCCTAATACTACATTGGAAACTGATTCCTAAACCTCATGTGGAACTATTGTAACTCCAATATAAGTTTAACAGAGTGTAAGTATATCTTTGTAATAATTTCTTAAGTCATATAAAATATGATACCCTGACCCAAAAATAATGGGAAAAATAAATTAGATTAACATGTCAACCAAAAAATTTACTGGTAGATTCCATATGCAAGTCTTTGAGAGAGAAGTGACCTACGTTTTCTCACTCATTCTCTCTCTCTCTCTCTCTACTCGAATGAAATGAAACTTCTGGGTATTTGCATTTCACTTTGTGACACCAGCTTTAAAATCCCAAACACAGACTCTATACTGCTAAATGAAAAGAAGGCTAACTGTGGCATTCCTTGTGCAGTGCTTCCATTCATTTAAATTCACATTTAAATTCACTTATCCAGTTGACAGTCTTACAAATTTGCAACTTATGTGTACTCAGTTTGCCCACTGTAAATGTTTCTGTAGTGAATCAATAAAGCAGACTCCTTCTTCCCACAGAAGGAGTTTGCTTTAATGTAGACAAACTGACCTAAATGTAAAAGTGAAACTTCTCTGGAGCATATACACTTAAAAGTCTTGCTGATGCCCACAATAACTGCATGTAAATGTTTAAAATTTATTCTTTTTCACTGCGTTTGTATAGTATGCCCACTTTTCTATATTAATGTGCAATAAATGTATCTTTAGCATGTGATAAACATCTTTTTGACCAACTCTAAGCATAACACAAGCATAGAGAAAAGGGTCAGTGAATGAAAAAATAGTTGTACCCAATAAAAGCAGTAGTAGCAGAGCTGACTAACTTTAGACATCGTCGGCTTCTTGTGTAAACTCAAGATACATTTTTTGCATGCAGCTCTGAATTATCCAGATGTTATTTTCCAGAGAAGAAGTCTTGTTGGAGAAGACTTGTACTGTTAAAAACCTTTGAAGGGTCCCATTCTTAGACAAGGATGTAAAATCCTTCCTTATCAGGTAATTCAACATGACTTTGAGCACACTCATATTTGGTGTGGGCAGAGTTCTGACTATAAAGTGTCATGCAAGGAGAAATACACAACATCACGTCAACATTGGGAAGGCTTTGAGTACCTGGGATGTAGCCAAGCGTGAAACACAAACCTCTGTTTCTCATACCCCAGTCCAATGAGGTTTGGAGAGTCCCTAGGTCATGATGTAAACAGAAGGTACGGACTCCCAGTAGGTCACAGGAGGGACACCTCAGTCACAGAAAACATAATCAAGCAGTTTAGCATGGGCCTCCATTGAACTATACAGTCAGAGCCCTTTGCCAAAAACAGAGTTAAAAGGGAAGGGATTTTTCTGTAGTCCTAATATTTACAATTATTTGTACATATGTACATATTTATATACTTATTCATACCTGGACAATGTGATGTTGAAGGGAAAATTTATAATTTACAAATGAAACATTTTAAAAATGTATAGTTATACCATGAAAAAACCTTTTTTTATTGCTTGCCTTCCAGCCTTATGCTCATAATCACACTATTGCACACATCTCCATGTTACATGGAAGATCTACATTTACATATAAATATATATGAAAATAAGGATACTTTTTATTTTAATGTTCTGAGTAAAGTGCTCATTTTTTAGCTACTGTTGATGAGAAAGGTTTAGACTGACAGTTTACTTAGAGGGAATTCAAGGGATACACACCTTGTCCATGCTTCTCCCTTTCATTTATAACCTACAAAATGTCTTTATTTTACTGATTTCAGCTCTGTCTTAACTATTAATTCTATTCATAATATGCATTTGTGACCTTGGCGTGTATACTGTCACACAAAGTACAAACAGAATCACATCAAAAGCAAATAAAAAGCAAGAAAATAAAACAGCAAAAGAAAGCAGTGTTTCTCTTTGTTCTTTTTAGTACATTTCCATGTCTTAATATATTATTTTATTTGATTTTAGAAATATTTGTACAACTTTTTTTTAAACTCTGAACATATCTATTTTATGCACTATACTCAAGTACTGTACAAAACTGCAATAAATGACACTATACGACTACAAATGTCTCTACTAGAAGACATCATCATAAAGGTGTATCTTTTTTTAAAGGTCAACTAATAACTGCTAATGTATGTGTGAATCAAAATATTTTTGATTGGCCAAGTATACTAAAATCTAAATACAGTACACAATTATTTCTTATGATTTACCAGGCCTTTAGGGGCATAAAGAATCTTTGCAAAGGCTTAGATGAAAAACAATTTTACTGATAGTATTAAATGTTCTTATAAAATTGCCAATGACAGCTCCAATTTTGTTGTATTTGTGTGTATGAAATACAGTTGATACCTACTGATGATGCATGACCTTTTATTAAAAAAATAACATTCAAATCTTAGCAAAATCATTTCTAGTATACAAAGTTGTTGTAAAGTTATGTCAGCGAAATGTAAAGTTGCGATTTACAAAAGCAGCAGTAAATTTTATTATATGGACAATTTCCTCAACTTAAATCATGGTTCTTGTTTCCTTTGAAAACAGTGCTTCCTGGGACAAACACAGGTAAATATTTTAATGGTAAGCTTTAGGAAAACATTAGGCAAGGAAATAAAATATATTATATTACTGATATACTTAACCCTGAAAAATTTCTGAGAGCTCTAATGAACCTGATAACACCCAATTAAGAACAAAATCAAAAGGCAAAAAATACTCCTTGCTGAACCAGACAACCCGGCTTAGCAACATCAAATAAATAAAGCAATGAAAAGAATAAGAGTCTCACTAGCAGAAGTTGGTTTATATTGGAAATTTGATTAGCACTTTTTCCTGAAATCAATTAGATGAATTTATTAACAACTTCAAAGAGGATAGAAGTAAGAAACTTGTGGCTTTTGCCATATAGTAGTCTTTCCTGCCTCTTCAGTCTAACTAGTATCCAGAATGTTTGTGAAGAGTAGAACTGTACGGCCTCTGTACTCTGTTATGTACATGGGTACTGCTATTGTATCAAACAATTACACCTCTTTAAAAAAAATCACTTTTTTAAACGACATTTTCTTCCATTAAAGTAGAATTAGTTACTTTATAGAAAAATATTTTAACTTTAAAATAAAAAAATACTGTTCCTAAATAATTATGTAGGATCATATCTTCATTTCATTGTATGGAGAGAATATAATTCTGTATATTTGAATGCTAGTTCAACCGAAGTCCCCTGGGTTTAACTTTTAAAGAGCTGGCTGTATTTGCCATGGGTGCTATCTGTTTACAGACCCATGAATTAACACTGTGTGCCTCCTTTGGAGATACACATTTATATACACACTGTACATAATGGTTCACAGATTAGCAGTTATTAGTCAGACTGTACATAGCAAACAACCTATCTGATTAGAATGATGCGTTAAGTCCTCAGTGCAATTCAGCTTTTAGGTTGATGGCGCAAAGCCAAGTAAGACAGGCTCCCTGTTTAAATACGTAGCCCAATACACTAAATTAAAAGTACCAAATAATACTGGAAACACTATTCTAGACATTCTGTCAATTTTGCTAACACTGTTGAATGTCTTCTTTGCTTCTTGTGGCTTCGCTTCTGGTTTTGCCTTGTTGGGTTCTGCGGTTGTAGCACTCTTGGAGATGGTTGGTAGCACTGAGTCCTTGGTAATATTTGGAGCATAGTTGGCAACAGCCACTGCATAGGCATTATTTTTCTTAATGACAGACGCTTTCTCTTTTTTCTATTGGGAGACAGCATGAAGTTAAATATTTAATGTGTATTTGCCAGAATAGACTTAAGAAAACATAATTTCAAAAATAAAAGAAACAAAAATAAAATGTGTTCTGAGTATATTAATGACTATATAAAATCAATACCAGGAATAACATACTGAGAAATTCAAATATTCCAGTCTATCCAAAAATAAAGTAGAGGTGACGTAAAATTGCTCTTGCACCATCAAATCCCCACTGAAGTTATATGAGGAAGGGTCTGTTACTGTGATTTTAAGGATAACTGGAAAAGAGTTGGACTTTCTCTAGTTGCTTTGTATCAGTCTCCTTACAATAGAATTGCAGTGATGAGAACAGAAATAAGAACCTAAAAAATAGCAGAAGATAACAAAAATGGGATGGAATTAAAATAATTTAATTAAACCGGGCAAAGAGAAATGTAAATCCTGCACCTGAGGAGAAATAACCCTATGCACTAGCGCAGGTTGGGTCTAATGGGCTGGAAGGCAGCTTTGCAGAGAAAGCCTGGGGGTCCTGGTAGACACTAAGTCAAACACAAGCCAGCAATGAGCCCTCACAGACAAAAGGCCAATAGCCTCCTGGGCTGTGTTACAGAGAGCGCTGCCAGTAGACTGTGGGATCATTCCCCTCAGCTCAGCCCTGGTGAGGCACATCTGGAGCCCTGCCTACAGTTCTGTGCTTCCCAGTTCAAGAGAGACATGGACATAATAAAGCAAGTCCAGCGGAAGAACACAAAGCCTGAAGTATCTGAAATATGAAATGCTGAGCGAGCCGGGGCTGTTAAGCCTGGAAAAGAGCAAGCTCAGGGGGGAATCTTAACAATGTGTATAAATATCTGATGGGAGAGAGCAAAGAAGACCAGACTCTTCCCCGTGGTATCCAGTGGAAGGACAAGACACAATGAACACAAACTGAAATACAGAATATACCACTTTAACATGCAAAAAAAAAAAAAAAAAAAGTTTTCTACTGTAAGCATGACCAAACACTGATTGCCCAGAGAGGTTTTGGAATCTCCATTCTTGGAGATATTAAAAAAATGTCTGGACGTGACCCTGAACAACCTCCCCCAGCTGAGCCTGCTTGGAGTAGGGGAGTTAAATTCGATGATCTACAGAGGTCAATTCTAACATCAAGAATTCTATGTTGCTATGGGATTGTGTATGCTTTCAAAGGGCTAAAATTCAGCCTACAGTAGTTCAGTAGAGAGTCTATGTGTACACACAGGTACAGGGCTGTGTAGGTAATGCATACAGGCTTGAGGTTTTAGACATATATATAGGTATGCAGATGAGCTCTGCAGTAAGATTTTAATGTTTTAGATTGATTCATTGTTTTGCAGCAATGTCAAACTATGGAATTTCTAATATCCTACAGGAAAGAATGGAAGGCAGTTTCTCAGGAAGCAACAAATATTATTTTCATCTCTATAAAAATATAACATAAATTATACATAAAATGTAATAATTTAATGTAATATTAAATATATACATATATTATTTAGAGACCAGCAAATAAATATTAGATTCATTCCATCCCTTCCACAAAATACAGAATTAAACAGATGAAGAAACAGTTAACTTTTGGATTGTGTAAGAAATCATCAGCTGTTTTATTGCTTTGTTTTGATTTTTAATCTAATGAAAGTGCATAAATGAGGGAATTCTTGTGACATTCCTCATACAGGTGCATCTCTCAGGTGCATTTAAACTTTTTTCTTTCATTGGGAGGCATCTACCCAATTTCCAAATTTTGGTTTTAAATTATGTCCAATTTGATATTTATACATGCCACCTAAAAATCTTAGTAAGATCCTCATGGTTAGATGTTATGCCCAAAATACCTTGTCTTAGGAGACGGTGTCACATAAAAAGAGAATCTGGGAATCAGTTGGGAATTTAGCATTGTTCCTTATTGACTGGAATGTGAAAAAGTGTTGATCAAATATGTAGCTTGTTCCTGCACCTGCTTTTCTGTGAGACAAATTCCATGTCAATAGTACTTAGACAAGAATTTCCATGGAATGTGAACACGAATGACTGTGACTGAGGAAACATATTTAACTTTAATTGGTGAAGAGTAAGCCTGGCTTTAGGTGTACAGATGCATTCAGCAAAAAATTAAGAACAAATTACCAAATCAAATTATGATATAAACACTTTAATTCATCTATAATTCCTTCCTTTCAGACACAATTAGTGTGTTTTTAAAAGATATCTGTACTACCATTAATGAAACCAGCATAAAAAAGATGAACCATATTTTTGTATGAGTTAAAAGTTTAGCTTTTTGTTAAGTCAGTTGGAAGAAAGTAGAGAACTGGACATGTGAATGGTATATAAATCTTAGAATGTAATGGCTAATTTTGTCATTCCTAGGGAAGGAATAATACCTAGCTGTTAAACAGTTGCTGCTCCCAAGATTATGAGACAACACTGCTGTACTACTTTAAAGGAACAGCCAAAGGATGATTAGAGAGTTTATAAGGGCTCCCTGCACTATTACAATGCCAGAGCAATGTGCTGGTCTGAAAAGCTTCACTCATGAATGAGATGCTGATAAACTTGTAGTGATTCAGTATCTACCTCTTGCAGGAGGGAACAGATCCTGAAGTTATGGATAGTTCATGCCCTTAGGAAGTCACAGAGACTTACAAAGAACATACACTTCCTCTAACTCTTCTTTACTATTATCTGAACATTTTTCTTCTTAATGCATTCAAAGTGCTGAGAAAACATCAGTTAATGAAACTTTGCTTCACATCTACTATAATCATTTGAGAAGCAAAAAATACTCTATCCTATTTTAAGAAGAATTACAGAAATCAGTGTATTCTTTGTCAGAAGAAATCTGTTTTCATTGGTAGAATCAGGGACTGGGATAGAACAAAATTATATCATATATTAAGTCAGTCAAAACAGGTGAGTTTTAATATTTGTTCTGTGTTATTACAATTCTAATCTGTAAATACAGAAACTTAAGTTTATCCCCAGTTCATTCTGTTCATGAAATAAGAAATTCTTTCAAGTTAAAACTTCATGCTATCACACCTACATCACTATCAAAACCAAAAAATTAAGGCATGACTGTATTTCTGCACACTCAGAGCATCAGTACCTAATAGGTGAAGAAGAATTTTGTAAAACTGCTATTTAAATTAGCTTTTAAATTAATGTTTACCTATCATTAGGAAATGTTCAAAAGTTTTAGATTTTGTTATTCATAGTTATTACATGTATGGACAATAATTTGTTTTCTGATCCTTACTTATCAGGAAAATTAACATACATTATATCTTTCTGTATTCTTTTTCTTATTTCCAACTCAATTGAATTAAAAAAAATTTTAAAAAGTTATAAACCAATATAATCTGTATTAAATTTTATGAAAGACCAGATAAAGTTACATCTGAGGAGACAAAAAAAAGGCAGACAGTTCCCAATATAAAAAACAAAGTGCTTGATAACTAAATCTGGATTAGAGAGACCAAATGGGATTAGCTACATCAGGGCAGATATATTTTCATTCAGGGCAGAAAATACATCCATATTCTTTTGATTTAAAGCATCATGTATTATTTTTTTCATATAGCCTATTTTATGAAAATAATCTATTACAACTGGTTTAGTGCAATTGACTGGAATTAGGACTATTTCCTTAGGACTTACCTTATCATTCACTACACTTTTTCCATCCCAGGCCCATCCTCGTTTTGTGAAATAATTTACAGTTGCAAATTCAATTAATGCAGAGAATACAAATGCATAACAAACAGCAATAAACCAATCCATAGCTGTTGCATATGCTACTTTGGGGAGTGAATTTCGAGCACTGATGCTTAGTGTTGTCATTGTCAACACAGTTGTTACTCCTGCAAGAAGACACAAAAACATAACATCAACAATTTTTCTTGGATTTTGAATGTTAAGAAAAATACAAGCCAAAAACTATTACTGTTTGTTTTTGAAACACAAAGGAAAATTTGCTTATCTAAGTTGGTGATAAACTGCCAGAACTACATTTAAGGTTGCATCTGGCTATTCCTGTGAAGTATTCTAGTTCAATTTTTTTGTCTAAACTTCACTGATGTTACAACACAAATTGACATTTGTTATGAGAATTTTTTTTTCCTTTTTTTTCCAGTAACTGTCTCTCAAACCATCCAGTGACATAGTTGAAGGCATAAACAAGGCAAGTTTTCATTTAGGTAACATGGATTGTTTTCTAGAACAGCACTGATTTGAAATGCCAGATTATTATAACTATATTATGTGTCAGAAAACAAGACTTGATGATCCAGGAAGACTGTTCATTCACTGTGGCAGTTATTAAAAGCATTTTGCAGTACTTTTTGCATAATGAGGACCCAGTAGGTAGTCAGGAATTATACTCAAAAAAAATCAGAAAAAAAAGATACATGGGAGGAAAGCAAGAGAAGAACATTTTTCTGAATCAAATATAGCAGGCAGAAACCCATAACCACAAATGCAGTCTCCGTTCCTTAAGTAAATCAGTTCTCCCACCTCAGGCTGAATCACACTTAGACAAACTAAACTATTCCCTCTGTGGCACACCATTAAATACGTCTCCAGAATTAAAAGCAACACCAAGTGATATACTTAGCACAGATCAGCAAGCCCACACTCCATTATGACAGGCAAAGGAGAATGCCATGGCAAAAATATATGCACATCACAGCTTCAACAAATACACACTCATAAAATTGTTGTAAGAGGCTTCCCAAGAGAAAGTAAAGTCACTCTTCCCAAGTCAGATCCTCTGCTGTCAGCAATCTGTCACCTGGGTTTTGAAGGATCGACATAGCTCAGATTTTCCTTCTGCTACAAGAGAAACAATTTTAACCACTGTGTGAAAGGGAAGAGAGGCAGCAATTACACCTACAAATACCTCCTCAGGCTTAGCGATTTCCATCCCTCCAGTAAAGAATCTCCATCTCTGAGGGTGCTACAAAGGGTAGCAGAGCAAAGCTAAGTGGACTCAGCCTCAGTGCTCAGTCTCTTGATGAGCTTCCAAAGGTCTATGCAGCAGGGAAAACAAGGCATGGAAGCATCCTGATGAGTCACACAGTATCCAGACACTTAGCAAACAGAAATCCCTAATTGCTGTTTTTCAGCCTCCATAAATTTAAGAAGTGGATTTGGCCTAGAATCAGCCATGACACTGTTGGGATCTACTAGTCTGTATAATGAAAAGGAAGCAGCTGTGATATTGTGTGGTTTTAAAAAGTGCAGACAATATATTTTGTAAAGAACTTGTTCTCTCCTAACACTTACACAATATATGGCTCAATTATTTTCAGCATCTAAAGAAAAGACAGCCTATCTTACATATAAAGTTATCACATGCAAATTTTAACACCAGTCCTGAGCTGCAGATAAATCATTATAATTATATGGAAGTACGTTTCTCACACATAAGGTGACCTCATTGACATGTAAATATATACAAGTGCTAAGGTACTGCTCTGTTTAAGTCCCACCTTTCAGAATAAACTAATCTTCAGGAAGCCCCATTGACTTCTTCAGAGACCTGATTTACGATTTACTGTTGATCTTTTCTAGTCTCAATTAAAACATCACAAAGGTACATCTTGTGTCTTGCTAACACTTGAAAATTTCTCTAAACAATTCAGCAAGTCACACCACTTTGTGACCCAAATGCTAATCAAGCAGTACACTGTCAGACCATTGCCAACATACTTTCATTTATTCCTTCACTCTATAAATCCAGTTATGTTCAAGCTTCCACACTCATTTAAGCTGAGTGCAAAAAAATTGGACAGAAAATTTAATCTGTGATGCCTGACAGTTTAGGATTCTCTAGTCTTTTTACATTGCCATTATTCCTCAGAAAAAAGACACATGATTTTGCACATTATAGTTAATTTGAAAAATCAGTGTTATCAAGTCTTCTTTACAAAAAAGGACTGAATGGAAATAACCTGCCTCCTTGTCACTGCTAAACCTGAGAGGACTGAAAAATAATTAATGTGGAGGAATATGGCCAACTTGTAAACAAAATTCATTTATTTCACAAAGACTTAAAAAAAACATACACTGACCAGTTCAAAACAATCCTTCATTGCTTATCTAATTCATAACACTAGTGCACTAAAACTGGTATTAAAAAAAATTAGTATATTGTACCCCTACAATGAAGTACTCAAAATATTAAAGGAAAAAGTATATTTAAAATGCTATGGAAAGACTGCATGATATTTCCCAATGATGTAGAAAGATTACAGCTTATATATAAAGTAAATAACTATCTTCTGTAGCCCAGCATCCATCAGATGTGGCACTGAATGGATGCCAGAAGGAAATAGACAAGTATAATTCTATAAGAGACCAAGAGTAGTCATCAGTTAGCCTTTAAAAAAAAAAATCAAAAAAATAAACCATTGACACTTCCTTTCTCTGAAGAGGACCAAGCATTTTTATAGTTGACAGTAAATATATCACAACATCCTTACAAGTTTTGTTCTCAGCAGTCCATGCCTATAAAAGCTAAATATCTTCTATCACCACAGATTTTTCCATTTAGACCAAGACGGGAGCTATTAGATTGCCTGGGATTTTTTTAGGTTGTTGCTTTTGAAACAGCATCTGCTTACTGGAGAGAAAAAATCCATCTCCAGGGCTGCAAGTTTAACACTTTTCACTGGCACTAAACTTATATCTGTGGAAAATACCAGCTCTGTTATGTTTATAACATAGATAACCTCAAAAAGTAGAAATGCATCATTAAAAACATACAGTTGGAATTGGAGGAGCTAGCACATATATATTAAAGTTAAAATCTGTCATGATGACTAGTTCATGTCCACATTTCTGTGCAAAAGCCTTGTAAACAATTTATACAAAGTGTTTAAAATGAGCTCTACTTCTTATAATGTCAGGCTAGTCTTCCCACTATTTTATCCTTTCATCACAGCAGTTTGCAAAGATGTACATAATGGTTGAAGAACACACCACAGAAAGATTGATAAATTACCTTACTTTTTTTTTAATTAGGAAGTTAATTTCATTGCTCTATTGTTTTATTCTTCTTTTTTTTTTTTTTTAATAGTAATTGCAAATTTTTTTTGCTAATTAGATACCTCCACCTGGTCCAAAACCTGAATAGATTCATAAGTACAAATAATTGTAGAAAGAAAAGACTGTTGTCCATTTTAGAGATACAGATTACTACTTCATTTTATCACTCCAGGAGCAAATGGTTAGAGGTATAAAAAAAAAGCTTAAAAATTCTGGAGACAGAGTAATTTTAAAGTATTGCACCATAACATTTGGCTATACACCAACCTGTTTGTTTTTTATTTACACAATGTATATGTATTACTAGAGAAGGCAATGCAAAAGGACTGTACAATGATTTTGTTTAAACAGCAGGAGATAAGTCTGAACAACCATCGAAAGAAAGATTACAGAAAATAGCTCAAGTGCTCTGTCTACCCTTTTTACTGAAAGAACAACAAGAAACAGCCTCTTTAAATGGCACGGGAGGCAAGGAACATAATCTATTTTCAGAAAAGTTTTACTCACTCAGTCAGTTAAGCTACATATACATATGGTAAAGCTGGTGCTCATGTTGCTTCACTGTATCAATACCGAGCAATGGAACAAAGTTCCCCATCAATCAACAGACAAGCTTATTCCAAAAGTTGAATGGCAAGTGCTGTTTACCTCAACTCCAGTAAAATTGCATGCAATTATGTCACTAGAGAATACTGAGGTGAGAAGACATATCAGTTTGTTTTCAGCCAACTCAGTCTCTCGCTCAGGGCTACACTTTTCCAGTGTCCAGTGCCTACCACTAGAGTGTACAGTTGGTAGAAATTCCCATTAAAAAATTATAAACTGAAAGTAGAGGGTGATGGTGGACTATCTCTACAGTCACAAAAGATAATCTACAGTATGTGAAAGGAGAAATAAATAAAGACAGTTGAGATTTCTTTCAGTGAAATGGGAAAGGTACTTTGCATATACAGAATTGCTCAAAAAGACAGATCTCTATTATTCAATTCCCATGTAAAAATAACCAGAGAAAAAATCTAAACTTTGGTTTCCCCTTTCTGTAGAGGCACAATTAAAAAGTTACTCTGAGTTTGCATGGCAAGATTTTTGTAGTGTGGGGCTACAGGGGTGGCTTTTGTGAGAAGCTGCTGTAAGTTCCCCCTTTGTTTGAGAGGTCCAATATCAGCCAATCAAAAACAGACCCGCCACTGCTGGCCAAGGCCAAGCCCAACAGCGATAGTGGCAGTGCATCTGGAATGGCATATTTAAGACAGAGAAAAAACATTATTGCACAGAAGCAACTGCAGCCAGACAAGAGGAGAATATGTAAGAGAATATGTAAGAGAAACAACTCTGCAGACACCAAGGTCAGTGCATAAGGAGTGGGTGGAGATGTTCTGGTGTATCAGAGCAGAAATTCCCTTGTAGACCATGGAGAAGACCATGTTGAGGCAGGCTGTCCACCTGCAGCCCATGGAAAACCATGAGGTACAGAGATCCACCTGCAGCCCATAGAGGACCTCACAAGAGAACAGGTGGATGCTTGAAGGAGGCTGCGAGACGATGGAAAATTTGCACTGGAGCAGGCTGCTGGCAGGACCTGTGGCTCCGCATTGGAACAGTCTGTTCCTGAAGGACTGCACTCCATGGAAAGGACCCACACCAAGAAAAAGCAAAAACACAGACACGGGAAGGCAGCATAACAATAAATTATCCCAGTGAACTGACAAAAGAACATTCCTATACAAATTTAAAATTCTTCATTTTGGACAATATCTTAATTAGTAATATGACTACTAATTTTTGTTCTTGTTTGCTTCAGTTAACAAAAACTATATTTTAACATTCTTATTGATACTCCATGTGAGTTAAAACACAGATAACTGTAGCACTAAGAAAACTAATTTCTGATTTTCTATCATCTGCTTCTTATGCTGCTATTCAAACACATGTGATGCTTCTAAATGCTATGGGCCACTAAAAATGAAGTGAGAATTCAATAAGATGCACAGGATTAGTTTTGCTAATATTGTTGACACTAAATGTATAACAATAAACACATTACTAAATGAAACAGATTGTAATCTTGCACTAAGTGAAGGCTTTATGAACCAGGCTCATTCTCTTTCATTAAGAATGCAATCAGAAGCTTTTCAGATTTATCTGCTGCAGAAAACACATTAAAGACTTATTTAATCAACGATGACAAAACTTTCTTCTTCCAATAATTTAAAGCAAAGTCGAAGCAATATAATATTAGGCCACAATTCACTTGGGGTAGGGTAGGTCAACAACATTAAATAGATGCCATAAAGGAAAGGGATTAAATAGCTCAACTATAGAATAAGCCTCATTATACCAAGCTCTTAATGTTAACCTAGAACTTGAAACTACATTGCAAGAGAATAGAAAGAGAAAAGTAACTTCTTTCACAGTTGAAATAATAAATGCTAAGTGGTGCTTTGAATAACTAGAAGTTACATTTCTTTGAGAGAAACAGTATTCCAGCAGTTACTGCTTAGCTCTCAAGAAGGAACTTGATATAAATTTCTCATTGATTCTCATTGATTTTCTAAAACACATTCTCAAAACCAATAACTTCTGTTTAATTATATTTTATTATTGATATATTTAATATACAATGCAAAGACGAGTATCCAGCAAGGGACTACTCCATATAAAAACTAAAAATTAAGTATGATCAATAAAACTGTAAAGGAAAAATCTCCTACAATTTTTATATTCCCTGCTGAAAGTAGCCTGTTTTATTAATTTCACTGTAGTTTCTTATGTCACTGGATGGAGTCTACCTGAAAGTACCATCCAAATGAAACCATGAGTGTACCTCTCCAGCTCTGTCAAGAATAATTCAGTAGAGCCATAAAACAGTAAAAAGCAATATATAAACTTGTTATGAAACTGTAGCTAACTTCACACTTTTGTAGCACATTTAGGCAGGAGATCAGAGGGTATCAGAAATCCCAGTGACAACTGCTGCCAGTAGGTATGGAGAAAGACTGGGAGATTGATCTGAGGTTATGTATTTAGAAAAGCCATTGGCTTAAGCCATTGTAAGCTTAAGATGACAATCTCATCTAGAGTGTAAAAGAATGTTAAGAAATAGCTCCTCAGGGAAAATCTAACCCAAGACAACCTAATGCAAAAGGCTAAGCCTGAGGTGAAATGCTACATGCCAGGGTTAGGCTGCTCCAACAGGTAGAGCCTGAACTGTCCTGTGTCTTGTTTCCCTGGTCTTGGGATGCCAGTCTAAGCTGGCCTGGAGGGGACAGAGACCTGAGTGGCAAGTGAGGTTCATGTCTGTGTGGCAGAATAAAACACTAGCATAGAAATTGCTATCTCCTCCATATACTCATTGTGCTAATAAACAGATTTCAAGTTTTATGCCACTGAGTGCTTTAGTTCTGTTCTTGCAGCCATCCTACACAGCTCCCCCAAAACATCCTGAAGCAGGCCACTGTTCATTACCCATCTTACACTAATTCTCAGGGGAGTAAAGCAACAGGCTGTCATGCAGATGCTACTTATTTCCAAAAAGCCCCCATAAATTAAACAAAAAATAAATCAGAACAAAACAGAGGTGTACAAGAAGAGACACAAAATTTCAGGAAAACTCTCCTAGTGCCTTGTTACTGATGTAGTGCCTTTTTACCAGTGACACAGTAACAGAAAGAGCATTTTAGGAAGAGCAGATGTGAGACTCTTTTTGGAGAAACTAGCTACACTGTCCTAAATGCATAGGAATAGGTACAGAAAAGGGCAAAGACAGAGATATAGAAGGATTTGACTGTGTACTTTCAAGGCTAGAAAACAGGAATGTGCATTTTCATAAGCAGAAATGTCTAAATTCACAGAAGATTTTGAAAAAAGAAATCTGCCTGATAGCTGTCCAGGAAACCATGGTAGAATTCTCGTCCCACTGAAACCACTGAACAATTTCACCTGACTTCAATAAGGTTCATGTTTAAACCTGAAATTTTCACGATGTTTTGTATGGCATTTTATCTACCAGGAATGATAGTAAGTGCTTTGTTGTACATCATACTTAATATGCATTTGAGATTAAACTGTTTTTTTTTTTTTAAAGTGCATAGTGTTTACTGATGACTAATCATATGATTTTATGCATCATTTCTCATGGCTGATTTCACAGAGACATTATTTTTATTGTGTCAATCTCTTTTTCTTTAAAAGCAAACAAACCAAAAGAACTTTATGTTACACAAATAAGAAAGATGTTTTTTATTTGGCTTAAATAGAGAGCCAAACCTTATTGTAAGAGAAGCACCTGATTCTGCTGATGCTGTTCACTGCCTCACAGTACGCTCCAACTTGAATTAGTGAAAATGTGTTGCCCAGACCCGCAGAAAAGGGGTTTTTTTAAAGAACTGCAGCTCAAAATATTTAACATAAATAATTCAACAAATTCAAATTTAATTTGCTTATTTTACAAATATATTTAGAAATCTGCTTATTTATCAAGTACCAAAATACTTGGACAATATCAAGGTAAGTTATTTCAGAAAATCATCTATATTTACTAAATTTACTTTTAAAATAGAAACGTTAATATCTTTTTCTATTTTGTGCTTTTTTTTTTTTCCATAAAAGAATCAAGGATATATATGGACAGTTCTCTTGTATGTACTGATTTCCATTAGTATGTACTAATTGGGATTCTCAGGAGATGTGCAATTGAAAGCTGCTTGGACTAGAAATAACATCACATTCTACAAACACTTTACTTCCAAAATACTTCCTAGCATCTTCAGCTGTTGCAAATAGAGTTAATGCTACTCAGTATACTCACCAAAGACTGTCCTGGCAGGTACAGATTCTCTGTTCAGCCAAAATGACACTTGAGAGAGAATGACAGTCATAATACAGGGGAGATAAGTCTGAATGACAAAATAACCAATTTTTCTCTTCAAGTGAAAATGAGCCGTCATAACTGTGTATTCACCTAGGTGCCACAAACAAACAAAATACAATGAAACAAAATCTTAAGAAAGTCCATTTCTTTGGTAAGAGAATGTTTGCTACATTTATGTAAACCAAACATGCTAGAGTTATATTACAGTGAAAGTATTCTGTAATAGGAAGCATCCTATGGAATATAAGAAAGATTTTGTGTACAGCTCTATCTTATTCCCACTGAGTTCCACGACAGATAAGTGTTAAGGAATTTCCAGAAACTCTCATATTCCCTGAGAACTTCAGCTCTGAAGGCTTCTGCACATAAGCAACTCTGCATTCACACAACAGCTCCCTGAGAACTTAATCATGGTTCGAGAGCAGTCGTGGGGACCCATCACAGAATGGCACGTGTAGGAAAACAATCCAGTCTGATAGAATAATCCAGTGTTTAATGCCAAAAACACGATGGAAGGGAAACCTGTATGCTTTACCATTTAATAGACAAAAAGTGTTCCTTACCATATGAAATTAAACAAATATTCCAACCTTGAGTTGCAAATATAAGGATTCAACACTGAGCTCCAGCCAGCATTTAAAAAATAGTTACTGCAGACAAGCTCAATTTTGCTCTCACCAGTTACTTATTAATATGAAAGAATCAGTGAAGTGTTGTGTTACTTGTACATTGACTATGCCTCACAGATCACATTTTGCAACATTTTTTCAGTAGCCTTTAACAGCACCAGAAATATATTCTCCACAGCAAGTAACTGTCTTTTCTTCAAAATATCTTTTACTAACCTGTACTGGATTTAACTGTCTCTTTTCCAATTGTTTGACCCAAAAGATCATACTGATTCAATCTTGAGCCATCTGGTGCCACCTGTACCGAATCTGAAGCATTATAAGTCCAAATGTATGTCACTTCTGAAGTTGTGTATGCATCTGTGAGAAACAAGGTAAAATATTTTGTCAGCAATTTAAATTAAACAGTTTCCATCAAAACTCATAGAATTACAATACCAAGTAAATTTTCAAATTAAAATTCACCCCAAATAGTTTAAAATTATATAGTAAAAAATATAGCTGGTTATTTAAATAGCTTTACCATAAAGTAAATACCTATTGCAGCATGGGAACAGGGTACTCATTTTTGATCTTATTAACCACAACTTATTTCTATGAAATTACCAACAATGTCTACCCTTGTCAGCTTGTCAAAAGCTTGTCAGAGATTAGGTATCCTGTACCTAATCTCAGATATATGTATCCTGTATCTCTGGTAAGGAACACGAAAAGATCAACAATTTGCAAGATTTAAAATATATGACATTTTTGAAAATTCAATCCTATATTGTTCTGACTTTCCATTGTTCCCACTATCAGCTTTGGTAACGTATCTAAGCATTTTATCATTAGCTGAAATTCAGGCTTAAATATGGGAAGCCAGGGTCAATGACAGTGCCTTGCCCTGCCTGCCCTCATTAAATCTCACTCCCTGCCATCATTTTGAGGTACACAATGACATTAAGCAGCTGCTTTCTCAGTACATTCATCATCAAACATACATTTAGCTTGGGGTCTGTCAAAATAAACTAGAATGAAAGCAAATCAACACTGTATTTTAAACAGCAACAATGTCACTAAAGTAAGAAAGAAAAAAAAAAAAAAGAGTATGTCCTGAAAGGTTTTCCAGCCTAATATCCCATTGACAAATGGAGTGTGAAAGGTAAAGGGTAAATCATTGATGGAAGAAGTAGTGTGTTCATTCTGATTGACTGAGACAAGCACATTCTAAATCTTACACCATAACCGTAGTGCAGTGAAAGAGGAAAGCATAATTTCTGTTGGTCTGCAAATACTCGAGAAATTTCTAGAGACTCAGAAAGAAGCTTCTTCATGCAACTAGACATAAAATGCATAACTAACAAAATCTAGCAGGTGGATAGCATGTAGAGATTCTTAACACTTCCCATCTATCTTTCCAGCTTTCCACAAGAATATCTCTGCTTTAATGCAAATCAGCACTAAATGCAAATCAATATGGCCAATTATTGATTTGTCCCCATCCTACCCATTGTTGGTTAGACTTTTGGAAAATAATAAAGAAAGGGGATCTATTAAACTACAGCTTCTCCAATACATTCAGTTTGGCTTTTCTCTTACATATAAAAAAAGACATTCATACATCCTGATGATCCTCCCAGAAATGTAAGAATAGCAGCATATGAAGAGCTGTGACAAATATATACCACTGGCAAACTTGCCTCAGTTAAACCCAAGTCCTCAGTATCCCTGCTTATTTTCACCACTGTTCATCATTCAGATTCTATCCCAGAATAAAAGCTGAAGAATGCACAGTTGTCTAAAAATGAAAGGTAAGGAAATAAATGTGAAGCCATTCAAAATGAATAGAAATCAGAGTCCTCTGGATATGCCAACAGGCCACAGCATAAATGACTATGAGAGACATGAAAGAGAGTTTTTTTTTTTTATCACATTGCTCACATTTAGAATTCTCTAGGTTATCAGAAAACCAGAAACCATAGGCAGAGAACAAAGAACAAGCTGGTAAGCAAAAAACTGACCAAACAAAAACCCCTCCTGTTCACACAAAGTTGAATATACCTAGTTAAAAAGGTTATCAATTTAGAAATGCAAATGAAGAAAAGTAGCCTCTTGGCCTCAGTATGTTTCATTATTACAGGATATTTTTTTAAAGTTCTTTTAAGGCTACATTTCAGTCTTTTTTCCCTCCCAAAACTTATAAATCAAATAAATCTTCCTTGCATATGTGTGTAAATATTATTAGTCAGTAGCCAATTTTGGCTAATATCTCTGGTGTTAGTTATTTAGGCTGCATTACATATTACAAATACAATATTTAGGGGGCAAAAAAGGTTCCATGATACAAACAGTACTAATTCTAATCTCCATAGATGAGATTTCCCTCTAGTGTGGAAACATCATCAGAAGCACAGGCTTGGTCTAATTTGCTCCAAACTCCAAGGAAAAGAGGTATCACAGTGCTATGGGGAGAGTATATACAGTGCTCTTAAAATTATCATCTGGTTAATGATGTCCTTAGTGGCAGTATATCCCCTGTTTTTAATCTCTGTTTGCTACAGTTATTATAAAATCAGCCAGAATTTAAAAGTATTAACTTGTTTCCTAAAAAAAAAAAAATCCCTTTCCTGGGCCCAACAGGCAATGTAGGCTGCAGCCCATGAAAGAAAAGAAAACTTTTAGTGTACAAAATCCAGGAAACATATGCAATGAAGAAGAAGAAGAAAGGCTGTAATATAAGTAAATTAAATAACACTGCTGGTAAAATAACACTAGTCAGATCAAATTCCATCTAACATGAAGATGCACTAACAAGTAAAAATTTTTATCACAAGGTGCCACTTGTTATTGCCTTCATAGAAGAGGATAAAACCAATATCATTAACAATGAAGAGAAACTAAACGTTCTAATAAATGAAAACAAACTCAAGTCTTTGGTCTGCTCTTCACTGATACCAGAGAGGCTTTGTGGGTCCAGCTCTGTGTTCATCAGTATGGTTTGCACGCTGCAATAAAACTAGACCAATGCAGTGTTGATTAGGTGCAGCTTTTATTGTTAACTGGAGTCATGAAATCTTTAAAATACACTAGAAGACACAACACTGAATAGAGAAAAGAGATTTTGATGTGTCAGGTTGCAAATATTTTTGAAAGTATCATCTTGTGGTTAAAATATCTCATGTAAGAATTTCCTGAAACAAAATTCTGCAGAGTAATGTTAGATATCACTAACCAAAGGCCCCACTTCATATTATATACTTACAGCTGCCGAATTTCAGTGGGCATGAGTGCGCATCCATGGGGAAGTCCTCCAAATGCATTGGACATTCAGCTTGGACTGTAAGCCTAAAAGGCAAAACACTGAGATGCATTTAAATCGTTTAGCAGGACAAGAAATTCACTTCCAGAGAACTGAAAAGTGATTAAGAGAACTGAAGAGATTAAATTGAAATTTTATATTAAACTAACAAAAATTCAAATCAGCTCTTGCTTCTTCCCTTTTATGTGTTCGTTTGGAAGGCAGTAACTTATCACATTAAAAATTCTTTCTCCTTTAACCTAAGGAAAGAAAAGAGAAGGGGGGAAGGGAGCTGCTGTCCTAACTTTCGGACATTTGGCAGGGAGCCAGGTCCAAACCGTCACAAAAATCTGAAAAAGCTGACCTCAAAACTATGAGCAAAGGCCACTTAAAGACAAATATAAATTACATAATTGCAGGTTGTTAAGAACAGTAATTTTTTCTCATAATATTCTGACATACATGTGTGCTTTTATGGCTCTCAAAGGCTCATTATAAAAGCATATAAAATACAATTAATTTGCCAAAGGACTGTTCTCCAGAGTCTTCTGAATTTATATTTTTTTTGTCTGAATGGAAGATGTAGAGGAAAAATATTTGTGTTCTTTCAAAAGATTGCTGCTACCCATTCTCCATGTTACTTGTGATTATTCTTTTGATTTATGTATAAATTTGACTGTGTTAACACTATATCCACTTTTGCTGATTTTGTGGAAAAAAAAAACAACAGCAATATCTCAGTATCATACATGGGAATTAGTACAATAAAAAATAATTTTAAACATTTTTTACAGACTTTCTCATTATTTTTAATTTTGAAAAATAAAAAAGGCCAAGAAAAAAATATCTTTCTCCTTCCTATCCTGTAAGTCTCCTCTGCATAGAGTTTTTTTTCTGGATGCTTTAGTTCCTCTTCATCCAGCCTGAAACATCAGCTACATCACTCTGTACTCCCAGTAGTTTCTAGTCATTTTATTCTTGGCTGCTTCCTCCCACTCTTCCACTCAAAAATATTCCATATTTCTATGCCTCCACTCCCCAAGAATGTTTTTCTGAATTCAAGGGGCAGAGAGAGACAAGAATCAGGAAACACCTGAAGGCAAAGAAAGTAATTGCATGAGCCTCTGGCAAAAATCACACAATCATTTTATGTAGACACAGACAAAAAAGGCTGTTTAAAATCTAGGCAGTAAAAGCAGTTTACACACTAACCTTATACTCTGAGAAGCAACATACTTACAAGTCATGAAAACGTTTAGTTAATTTTAGTTAACATGACCCAGCTTATGTTTCATAATGGTTTCAAATAGTATTTCTTTTTATTTATAGCATATGATTATAATAACTTCTGGTGGAAGAGAATTTCAGTCAGGTTATACAGATGCTGGTTCAAATATTGATTTGAGCCCAAGAAAAAAAAAATACTAAAACTGACGTCTCAGTTGACTTCAAAAATTTTTTCTGAACCTCTCCAACCCTCACATCATCTAATAACATTAGCAGTCTACCCATCAACAATCAATATTGTCAGGGTTTCAGAGCTGAATAGTCAAATGGGGCTTAAGGGATGCTAGTATGGCTGCATGGAAAAAAATCACACAGTACATGTTTGCTTTGCAGCTCACATTTTGTATCTTACTTAGGCTGGGGATTTTAACTCTACAGGAACAAAAACTTCAATTTATTAAATATTCTCCAAGAAAAAGAAAGAAAATAAGTCAGGCAGGGTCTTCTGGAAATTTAAAAAAAATCCATATAGGTAACATTATTGTTAAAATAGTAATCAAAGAAGAAATCAGTCTTATAAAAATGCTGCTTATAACTATGTATACATGATATTTATAACTTTTTCATAAATTATTTTCTAAGTAAATTTAATGTTTTTTACCAGCTAAATATTTATGGTAGCTGCTAATGATGCATAGGATGCAAAAATTAAAACTCTAAGCAAAATACTGCAATTAGATATAAAGAAACAATTATTATAGCCTAAGACATATTTTCCCTATAGCTCTTGCTGAAAAGAATTTGAGACCTTATTAACTCTTTATTCCTTGATTTTTTTTTTTTTGTTGCTGCTGATCTTAATAAATTTGCTTAAGGGTTCACATAGTCAATGCAATAGGTGCAGTAACAGGCAAAACTCACATACTATTTTAATCATTCTAACAGTGAGTAACTCCATCTGAAGGTCTCAAAGCACTTTATGCAGGGGTTCAATATCTTTTATGCATTATAGAGATATTAAAACTGAGGCACGTGTAGGAAAACTGATCTAACTCATTATGAGCCAACAGACTCTTAACAGAACTGGAAATCAACCACACATTTTGTTAGCTTTCTTTCTGCTAGCACCGAAATACAACAAAGGAGAGCCCTCCTGGAATCTTATTTGTTACTTCAAAAAAATCACATCAAGAAATAGCATAAGTAGAGAACCGATGAACAGAATTACCTCATGGTGTACAGCAGAGTTCCATCATCTTGGATTCGTAGGAGCTTGTTTGGCATTGTCATGTTATGAGCCACTGACTTCTTCCCATTGTGAAAAAATGTATCTGGGGTCCAGATTTTGCTGGCCATTAGGTTGTTCAACCGAAGAATGTTCATTGGGCCCTTAAACTTTAATCTCTCATCCTTCCATCTCTGACGGAAGAACACATCTATTGTGTATTCCTGTAATGGAATAAATATATGCACTTTTTTGACACAATGAAACACTAATCTGCTTTCTGAGAATCAAAACAGAAAAGCTCTTTTGCTGCCTTCCCTTGATAAAAATGTCAAGGGAGAATGATCACCACATAAAATTGTATAATACTGAGAATAATAAACAGGAATTCAATGTATTAAGGGTATGACATTCTCCTTCACGATTGCTAGCTCTTGTTTGTATATTGAAACCTTCCGGTATTTAGATTTCTGTACCTAATAAACAGTGGGTACGTGACAAGGCTAATTTCAGTAAGCATTGCTATTTTACATTAAGAAGTAAGGAAAAAAAATACAGAAACACATTAAAGAGTTGTTTTGGCATCTACTGCTGTAGAGTAATCCAGCATTTCAAAAGCCCAGAGAATGGCTGAGACTAGAAGTAAGGAAACAAGGCAACCCATAAAGGGTTCAATACTTTCAAGTACGATGATATAAAGATTTTCCAAAGAGGAATGTAAGGCTCTGTAGTGGTATGGATTTTATGAACAAAAATACATAGGTAGGAAACAATAGGTGATGACTGACAGGTGACACACACTCTCTATGGAAATTTTTACTCTGATGCTTAAACTCGGAAAGGCAGTATAGCCTGGGAAAAGAATACAAGCAGAAACAGACTGATGACCTAGACCAGATGCCTGTGACAACCAGTTCTGGGCATCCCATCTGCTGGGTTTTGTTGCTGTTCTAAACAATAAACAAACAAAAAAAATACTGATTAAACATTGATGATGTAAAGTCATCCACTAACTTCAAACTGAACCTGGAAATTGATTTAGTGTTTTGCTACTGTCAGCACAGCATATAAATTGGAAATGGAAGAGCATAAAAACTTTGTTGGAAGGAAACTGCATTCTGTGTATTGGCAAATGCTACCTTTTTGTTTTGTTGGACAGGTACAAAACGGTCTCATGACTTCAAAATATTAGTATGTTGCAACAGTTTGTACTATTGCAACCATTTTCCAAATTATCTTTGAATTGAAAAGTCCTGATAAAATTCAACCAATACAAAATATTCAAGTGATTTCAATATAGAAGTGACTTCAAGGAACTTATCAGCCTCCATCACTTTCTGCTGGGTCCCTTGTGTGCTGATTAACAAGGCTTAAGGTTCTTCTCCATCAACAATTCGGTGGTACAAAAGGAAGGCTGATTAGACAGCAATAAGTGACAGCCCCTTCAGCTCCTTTGGTCTGTGAGCCAAGGAGCTGTGAGGACCTTTTCCAGGTCAGGGCCAGAGGCTAAGGAGAGCATATGGAAAAAAGGAAAGAGAATTTTATCACCTGAAGGAACTCAGTAGGGCAGGAGAGAAAGCAGTTCTCATTAGGAACTGCGACAAGTGCGTGTTTTGGAAATTATGGATACTTATAACCTAATCTGGCAAAAAGTACCAGCTCAATTTTCAGCTATACCAAGAGGTCTTGCAATAAAATACAATAATATTTTGTCATTTTTCTAATTAAAGTAATAACTATTCAAAATTATATTAAATCAAATTAACACTACAGTACACTGAAAATTAATTTGCTTGGTTTTCTTTAAAGTCAGTTGCTATTATCTCTAATAATATTTTAGTAAATATATCTGTGAAATATAAAACTAGAAACCTCTAAAACACGAATTTCTTTCCTATTATACTCGATTTATATACAGTCTCTCATCACTACCAGAGACAGTCTTGTGATAAACAGTTTGCTCATTTCTCTGTGATAAATCACATTCAATTGAACTCTTTATTTGCTGATTTATATGTTGTTTTATTTGTTAAATATCATGTGACTTTAAATCCCATTTAAAAACAAGAGTTTATCTATCAGTTCAGTTATAGACCAGGGAAAGTGACAAAATGCTTAGTATCATGGAGGATCTGGAGCAGTAGGAACAGTATGCTTGAAGAAGGGGAATATATGAAATTTGGATAGAAATACAGTGTAATTAAAGGAAAACAACCGTCCTAAGAGCTTCCTTGTGTTTCTTGTCTGAGGGGTTTTATCAGTAAGTCATTGCTACGTATGATAAGATTGATGTTTGAGGTATAAAGAAGCAGGAAGAAGAGCCTGAGGGAGTAAGACTTTGAAATCCCACTGAAATTCAAAATGAGTGATAAGTCCTATAGATTCTTTTCACAAATATTCCTGCACATAAATGATTAGAATATAAATCTGAACTTTCTGCAATGTTTCCATCACTAAAGAACTTCAAAGGTCCCTCTTCTTCCCTGTCTTCCAACATATATAAAAAGAATCACAAGAGAGATAAAACAGGAAAAAAAAAACGCAGACATGATATGCCACTAAATAAAATAAAAACAATATTTTAAAAAAATCCCACATCTGCTGCATGGTAACAGCTTAGGAAGTAGAATGAGTAGGAAAGAATCTGAGCTGCAGTCTTGAAAGATTCTACTAATAAATCTCTGACTGATCCACAGGTAATTCTAATCTCTCCATCCAATCCACATTTGAGATCTTTATTTCAGAACATACCATTTAGAAGACAGAAATGGGGAATAAACCAAGGTTTGGTGTGAATGACGATAAACACCTTCTTCTTCCATTTACCACAATAGTAATAAAATCTCACATATTTCTTAAATGACTTTTTTTTCTAAAGATCTCTGTGCATTTTTTTCAAAAGAAGTATTGGAATCTCGGCTTTGTATGAAAGAAAACTAAGGCACTGAGGTGAAATTAATTTGTCATGGTCCATTTAGAGTGATTATGAAAAGCAAAACACAACCCATGCCTTTGCATCCCAGTGCTATATCCACTGATCCCATGCTCCCTCCTGTGCCAAATCTATTATACTTATGATCATGGATATCCCTGTTGATGTTTACCATATAAAATAAATTAAAAAATATGAAATTTTTGAAGTATTTTGAATATATTCAACGTGATAAAAAGCCAGCATTTTTCAAAATACACCACATAAAGATTTTGTAACTAATTCCTATTCCATATACATAACACTTTGTGGTAAATGCTGTGTGATAAAGTTTACTTTTCAATGAAGACTAACATTCTGTGAGAAATTCAAATCTGGACTCTAGAAAGGACATGGAAAATAATTTTTTAAGTTTCATTCAAACTGCAGATATTCTTCTATGCAAAAAAACCTGTGCTGTCTTTGGACACGACCAAATTACCCTCCAGTATAGAGTGCAGTATCTCCACAAAATCACAGGAGATTACTTCCAGGTCTTCAAAGGACTCCTGCAATCATTGCTAAACAATAAAATGCTTCCTACTGATTTGTGTCTAATATGTGCTTTCACAGCTAGATTCTAACACAGTACAATTAAACATAATCTTTCAAATATGTATTATACCAGCTTATGTGAAATTTTAGGTACAGAGAGTAAGTTCATACTACAGTATGAAGAAGCACTGCCAGTTCAATGCTCAGAAGAATAAAATGGGGAAGAAATTTCATTCTTCTTTTAATATGCAGTTGTTGGGTGTAATAGTATGAAGCATAAAAAAAGACATAAGTATCTCTGGCAGAAACTTTAACTGACCCGAGTACAAGCAATCCCTCCTCATCACATGACAGTCTCTCTTTTTTTGCTAAGGACAGATTTGTATGGGAAAAGTTCAGACAACAAAAAATGTACTCTCATCCTCTGAGCTAACAGTTGGTAGATTTTGGCAGTTTTTGCATATGGAGTAAAAATGGACATGTTCCAAACATCTCAAAAGTTTTAAGTGTCTATTAGCAATCAGTACTGTCCTGAAGCAGATTGAATATTTTATTAATCACCTTCTGGAACACAGCATTTTGTTTAATGAATAGTTTAGGCCAGAGCTCCTCATTCCCTACTTGTAAAGATTTTTCCTATTCAGTTCTCTAAAGTACGTTTGTCTTTCTCTTGACCAGTCTTAAAGCCAATAACTGAAACACATTTATAACCACGAAAACAAATTTTAAATAGTGTAAAATATAAAACTTTTAAAAGGCAAGTACAAAAAATTGAAAACAAGTAAACAGAAAATGGCACATATATCTTTTTATTGATTCCCTAAAGGCAGTCAGAAATACTGTGGTTGATACACTGATGAGATAAACACTTCAGATTCATGGACCTAAATCTCACCTAGCTAATATAGGGTCTTCTTATTAATATTTATTTGGACAATAGCATAACTTCATAATTTAAATTCTTAAAAAGTAAATTCTTGTTATCATATCTATCTTGAAGAAATACCCATTTTTTCTTTCAGTTTAGCTTAAAAACATTAACAATGTTAGTATGTGTCTGGTACTGTTGAATACTAACATGATTGGTATGCATCTAGGCATCAAAATGACTTCCAAGAAAACCAAGAAGGAATTTTAGACTCAAAAAGATGCAATTATGAAAAGAAAACTAATCTACAAAGTATATGCACTCCTTTTATAACCTGATATTTGTGAGTTTGATGAGTGCAAGTTTGTGATGCAATTTCTGCAAATCAGTTTATTAAACTTCCATTCTAAACATTTTGAATGAATGCTGAAATCAGATTTAAGGTAGGAGGATCAAATCATTAGTTTGTTGGTTTGGTCATTTCATTCTCTATGGGACAGATCTATGCATGGTGCAGATGGCATACACAAGGGCTAACTCCCTACAACATTCTGCATAACCTAGTTTATCACTGTATGGTTTGGCTTTACCTGGGCCTGTCTACCATACTGGATAAACAATCCATCTCACTTTCTACTTATCTCTTCTCTAAAAACAAATAATTGTCTAACAACATCAAGACTGAAATAGTTCTCCTCCAAACCCTCTCAATGTTCCAATCACAAGCACTTACTACTCTGGCTCTGTACAAATACTTCTCCGTTTGTGTATCAAATATCAAATCTCACTGCACAGATAAATAAGCTGAGTCCTTTTGCTCTTCTTCAAAACTTACTTTTTCATGTGTGCACAACACGGAAAATAGAAATTCCTTTCAGGTCTTTCTGGGG